CGTGCACATCGAGCCACACTTGCAGACCAGGGCAGCGTTCTGTTTGGATTGCGTGTCGCAGGCAGTGTTATCCCATCATGTTGCTGACCGTAGCCATAAGCATTCCAACGGTACTTCTGAAGTGTGTTTCTGCATCTCGCGCGGTGTTGGTCGTGGACGTTCTATTGAACACACTATGATACCACAGGGCGCGCTGGCCGCCCTTGCCTCACCACCGGTGGGCGCTGAGCCAGTCTTTGACGACGTGGTGGAGCTTTCTGAAGATGTCAACGACGGGTTACGTGCTCAGGCAGCGGACTTCCTCGCTACCGTCGGTGCGCTACGTGCCCAAGTGCAGGACGTTCGTAACACTGTGACTGACACCATCGTCTGGGGTCATGTTGCGCCTCTCATCGGACATCGCGTTTTCTACCCCAATCGGTAGTTGATGTCCGATACTTTGGAGGATCTTCGAAACAGGAGGTTCGCAAACTCCCGATTCTGAAATACTCGAGCAGTTCTGCGCAGTTGCTCGGGATACTTTGGAAGGATCGATCGGTTCGTCTCTCTCGAAGACACTTGATGCTGTCCGTTCGCTTGATGCATATGGGCAATCGCTGGTATCCGAGAAGGCCAAGGAGCATGTTCGTCTTGAATTCGAGCGTCAAGTTTCAGCTTGGAGGAGCTCGCGGCCCCATGAGGGGGTTCCCGCCAGTTGCGCCTCGACGGACCTCCCCAGCACTTGCACGACGGAAGGCAACGAACAGACCTCATCAGAAGAGAGGAAAGACACACATACACATGTATGTATGTATGTATGTATGTATGTGTGTATGTATGTATGTATGTATGTATGTATGTATGTATGTATGTATGTATGTATGTATGTATGTATGTATGTATGTATGTATGTATGTATGTATGTATGTATGTATGTATGTATATATGTATGCATGCATGCATGCATGCATGCATGCATGCATGCATGCATGTATGTATGTATGTATGTATGTATGTATGTATGTATGCATGTATGTATGTATGTATGTATGTATGTATGTATGTATGTATGTATGTATGTATGTATGTATGTATGTATGTCTGTCTGTCTGTCTGTATGTATGTATGTATGTATGTATGTGTATATGTATGTATGTATGTATGTATGTACGTACGTACGTACGTACGTATGTATGTATGTATGTATGTATGTATGTATGTATGTATGTATGTATGTATGTATGTATGTATGTATGTATGTATGTATGTATATGTGTGTAAGTGCCCGTGTATACATACATACACACACACGCGTAATTGCACACATACGCATATGCATTGCAAGTCCAGACGTCCACACACATTCGCGCACGCACGCCAGGAACAAACTGCTACTCTACCAAGCCATTGTTCGAACCGAACCCAATCACCCTGCTCAGGGGGTTACATGTGATCCTGTCACACTGCAACCCAGGCAGTGGACACGCCGGAGGGTAGGCCGCCCCCGGCTGAATTGGACGGAGCAAACAGCAGCAGGATTTTGGAAAGCTATCCGGAGCTCGCTGCCGCCAGCTCTCCGCTTCGCAGAGGTCGATACCACGAACCCTTTTCACACACAAGCTATCCGTAATGCCGCCCAGAGACAGCTAATTACTTGATCGTCGTCATCACCCCGTTGTCATTGGTCCTTTCTCCCTCCCTTCGCCTCCCCCCTCTCCCCCCTCTCCCTCCCCCCCTCACCCCGCAGGTGTTCGAAGGAAAGCAACGATACACGCAGCATCACTCTCCGCCACGCATGTGCCGTGGCAGCTGCACCGTTGGGCGCGGAAACGCGGTGTTCGCGCAGCGCACCAGCAAAAAATGAGGCTTCTCTCCGCAGGAAATGCAGCCCTGTGGCGACTCGATAACAGTCGTCGTGGGGTGGAGCGGCGGCGGCAATGTCGCCATAGTGAGGTTTGGGGTAGTTGTTGCCGTGGAGCAGCACGCTAATGCTGACACCACAGCGGACATCAGCTTGGAACCCTCTAGTCAGCAAGGCTGTAGGCGTCTTTGCACGCTCAGCTCCTTCTCGTTGATGAGCTTGCTGATAGATTCGGTCGGCGACTCGGTCCTGATGGTATGTTTGACTGTCGGGGCGCTATCCACCTTGGTCCTTTCAGTCGGTCTAGTAGGGGACTCGGTGCCAGCGTCCTTGATCGCCTGCCAGCCCTCAGGCCGCAGACGAATCGTCCCAATACGGATCTGCGCCTTCCAGAGCGAGATGTCAATCTTGGAGAGATGGATGAAGCATCTTCCGATGAGGAGACCCAGCGCGGGAGTGTCAACGACACTGAGCACGATGTTGCCAGCCCAGCCGCAGAGCACCAGCGGCGCGGTCACGCGCATCTTGTTAGGGAGAGTGCCCCCGTTGCCGCACCTGTAGACCTCGTCCTCGGGCTCCTCGAGGATCTGGTCGGCTAGGCGCATCTTAGTAAGCAAATATTTGTAGATGTTTTACCATTTGCGACCGAGCCCTTCGTCCACGGGCTTCTCACCAATGGCCGCTACGTTGACGTCCAGCAGGTGATGTATCAGCCGCTCGGAGACGCAGGCCTCCGAAGGAGACGTCACCGGCCCCTGAGGGTGCAGAGGCGCCCTTTCATCCACGAGCTGGACCTGCTCGGTGATGTGCGCCTGTCGCTGTGGTTTGCCGCCTCGGCCTCCATCGCGACCGCCTCTCTGCTTGTCCTTGGGCGCAAACTTGCGCGCACCGGGCGTAGGGCACTCCTTGTCTTCAGTCCAGAGCCCCGTCTCGCCGCAGTCCCAGCACATGGATGTCTGCTTGAGCTGGTCGACGCGGCTCCGGAGCTTGCCGGGACGACGTGCCCCAGTCGATTTGCCGTCCGACTTGCCGCGGCCCTTGAGGACTTCTCGGGCCGATCTGGTGGTGGCCATGGCCTCGGGAATCGCGGCGAGCACCGCCGCGGCGGCCTCGACCTTGGCGGAGTCGTCATCGTCGAACACCTCGGAGATCTCGACGTTGGAGGACTCGAGCTCGGCACTGAACGCCTCGAGCTCCTGGCGCACCATATCTTGCACGTCGGCCTCGATCTCGCGGTCGTCCCCATCATCCTGCTCTCCGTCGTCGTCCTCCGGCTCGTCGACGACGTTGGTCGAGCGCCCTTCTCGATGTGAGGAGGAGGACTTCGAGCCACCAGCAGGACGCGACTGGTTGCTCCACGGCCGCGGTGGCTGCGGCGCGTGGCGCCCTGAGTTTTGAATGTCCGGGAGCATCCTCACCAGCAGGCCTCGGATGCGCTGGAATCCGTAGTGCTCGTCAGGCAGGTTGCCCACGACGCGCTCGCGTCGCTTTGCCGTGAGGCCCGCCTTGCGTAGTAGAAACCGTCCAGCTGCGTCGTCCAGCGCGCTGAGGTCCACCTCGTTCTCACGTAGTTGTTGGAGACAGGTCTCGAAGCGAATGAGCCAGTCCGTCATACGTTCACCACGTCGGCGATGGTGATGAGTCGACTCGAAGAACTTCTCGAGAGTCTCGCCCTTCTGCACTGGATTCTGCTGACCTAGGTTCGCCTCCAGGTGTTTGAGTGCATTTTCAATGCCAAGCTGGTTCCCGATGCGTTTCTGCGAGCCCGCGTCTTCGATGTAGCCCGCAGTTGGCGGGTGCAGTTCTTCCTCCGTCATGTTGAGCGCAGCTGCCCTCGCCGTCCCCGTCAGCTTGAGCACGAGCTTGGACGCGAGGCTCTGGGTGACCTCTAGGTTCTGGCTGAGCTTCCAAATCTTCACCTCCTGCGTGTAGTCTCTCCACTTGGCGGGGTCGCCGTTCCACGTGGGAATGATCGACTGGCAGTAGTTGGTGTGCTGATCCGTCATTGTGTCTACGTACTTGGCGTTCTGGTCGGTTGTGAAATTGAACACGTGGGGTCCGCTCAAGTTCAGAAAGAGCGTGAAATATAACGAGAGAGATTTGCTGAAGTCCTGGGAGAACTCGTCGGGCAGGGCGTCGCTGACGTCCGGGAGGTAGTCAATGAGGGCGTTGAGATGGGTGTCGCTGACGTCCGAGATAGAAGTGCTGAGGGCGTTGGGCTATGCGTCGCTGACGTCCGAGAGGTAGGTACTGAGGGCGTTGGGCTGAGCGTCGCTGACGTCCGAGAGGTAGGAGTAGATGCTGGCTGCTGGCGTCGCTGACGCCGGCGGAGATGGGCAGGGTAAGGATCAGGGCGAAGATTCCCCGCAGGACGCCCGCTGGGCGTCGATTCCGTGGCTCGCGCCGGCGTCGTCGTGGCTGGTATATGGATATGGCGCGCAGCGCCAGGCAGCTGAGACCCGCTCCAAGTTACCAGTGTGATATGGAATGGCGCGCGGCGCCGGAAAGCTTTTTCTCTTTCTCACGGGGTGAGGCGAGGCGTAGCTCAATGGCCAAGGGCTCTAAATTTATCAGGACCGAGATGGGCAGCGGGAGACAGGGTGAGAGCAGCAAGAGAGACAGAGAGAGAGAGAGAGTGAAAGAGAGAGAGAGAGCGGGGGCCGCGGCGGAAGCTCGGTGGAAGGGCGATCGACATGCTATCGAATCGACCGAAACCACAAGCAGGACTTAGGAGGGCGAGTAGAAGAGGAGCAGCGGCTGCGCCAGCAGAGTGAGGACGAGGACGAGAAAAGGGATCATGAGGAGGAGGAGGAGGGGGAAGAGAAAGAGGGGGCTTGGAGACGGTTGGGAGGAGACGGAGCAGGGGGATGCTAGGGAAGGCTTGCACGCGCGGGGAGCAGGGACGGGCGTCCGTACCGAAATCGGCCAGAAAATTGATCCAGCGATGGAGAGTCCAGAAACTTCGGCTTTCTGGTACTAGCACCACGGTGGCGTTATCAGATGTCCCGTTCAGAGTTGCTCTGAATTGCGCGGGAGGCGGGACGGAACTCTGATTGATCCTTCCTCTGGTCAAGAGGTGCTGCCCTTCACGCCATTCCATGCCGATGGTGGAACTGGGGCTTGCAAGGCAGAGGGTGGAACGACAATGAGAAGGGGACAGGACCTCTGGCAGTGTGGACCTATGGTGGGGCTATACGACCCAAGCTACAACGTCAAGGACCCTCTGGCATCGGATGCACGTTCTACTTTCTCCTGCTGCTCCTCACTGCTCGGCTGTGCGTACCTTGTCTGAGTGCAGCGTTGCGGACATTGAGTTGTGACTGTTTTGTGAAGACCACCCGGATCGCGCAGGCCCTATCGTGGAGCGAATGTTGACTTGTATACACTACCCGTGCAACTAGTTGCATGCATAATTGTATGGACATGTATGTTCACCTGAATGAGTAAGCATACGTATGTGCACGTGTATACATACACATACATATACGTCGATTCCTTTTCGAGTATTCTTATAGCGGGAAGCCCCGGGCGACCCCCCCGTACATAGATTCGGCCTTGGGGAGAAATTTTGACTTTCGGTTCCAGGAGCCCATTCAGGCCATCCCAAGCCACCAAAGCGGGCCCAGGATCGCTTCCCAGGCTGTTCCGCGGAGTACCGACACGGCCCAAGACCGCTCCAGAACGCCCATGCTGGTCTCAGGACGGCCCAACAGCCCCCCAAGACGCCCCACGAGAGCCCGAAGATGGCCCCCAAGAGGGCCCCAGACGCCAAAATTCATTGATTTTCAATAGATGTTCTATCGATTTGAACGGTCTCGTTTTGTCGAGCTTCCGACTGCGCAAGACGGCCCACGAGACCCCAAAGATCGCCCCAAGACGGCCCAAGTGGGTTCCAAGAGGGCTCCAAGACGGCCCAAGAGCCCCTCAAACCGGCCGAGGAGGGCCCCAAGACAACCCAAGAAGCCCCGCAACGCGGCTCAAGAGGGCCCCAAGAAGGACAGCCCGAACTGACATTTCGAGTTTTTCCCCCCAACATGGCCCCGGAGACCGCCGAGGGGCCCCCAAGACGCCCCCAGAGGCCCCCAAGATGCCCCCAAGAGGCCCTCAAAGACCCCAAGACGTTTTCAACAGACGCCCAGGGGAAGTTCCCAGAAATGCTTCAATGATCTGATCTCAGGGGCCCCCAAGAGAACCCAAGAAGTCTCCCATAGAGGCTTCTGCAAGTCCCTCACGTTCCACAGGTCCCACAGGTCTCGCAGGTTTCAGAGGCCCCACAGATCCCGCACGTCCCACATGTTCAAGAGGTCCCACAGGTCTCGCAGGTCCCACAGGTCCCACATGTCTTACAGTTCCGCAGGTCCAACAGTTCCCACAGCTCCCACAGGTCCCAAAGGTCCCACAGGTACCACAGGTGTCTAAGGTCTCGCAGGTCCCGTAGGTCCTACAGGTACCACAGGTCCAACAGGTCCCACAGGTACCACAGGTCTCACAGGTCTCGCAGATCTCGCAGGTCCTGCAGGTCCCAAAGGTCCCACTGGTCCCACAGGCCCCACGGGTGCAATAGTTTTACAGGTCTTGCAGGACCCACAATGCCACAGTTCTCGCATGTCCCACAAGTCGCACAGGTCCCACAGGTCCCACAAGTGTCGCACATCTCGCAGGCTCCAGAGGCACAACAGGTCCCACGGGTCCCACAGGCCCCGCACGTTCCACAGGTCCCAAAGGTATCGCAGGCATCGCAGGCATCGCAAATACTACAAGTATCACAGGTCCCACAGATCTCACAGGTCCTACTGCAGGTGTCGAAGGTCCTGAAATTGTCGTACGTCCCATGGGTCCCACAGGTACCGCAGGTCCGGTTTGCTGCTATTAAACGGCTTTGCTAGGGTAATCGTGTTTTCCGTTTTGCCTGAACTCTTCTCCCAGGAAGGAGTTTCTGTGCCCCGATCCAACCGTCCAGCGCTTCGTGTTCTCCGAGAGGAGGAGACAGAGGAGCAGGAGGAGGAGGAGGAGAAGGAGGATGAGGAGGAGGAGGAAAAGAGGGAGGAGGAAGGGGAGTTGTAGCAGCACTTGTAGGAGCTCCCCAGTTCCAGCTCCAATTCCAGCTCCAGCTCGGCTCCAGCTCAAGCCCCAGATCCAGCTCGAGCCCAGCTCCAGCCCCAGCCCCATGAAACATGAACCCCAGGGAGCTCTTCGTCCCGTCTGAAGCCGATGAGCCCCGTATGCCGTTCAAACTCCATGAGACGTGTGACCAGATTACCTTCATGAACAAAGAAAACCTCGTGCGCCCTAGAGCCTTCGGGAGACCTTCCAGACCCGTGTCGCCCGCCACCCCTAAAAGCTCTGGGACAGCGCCGCCCCATTCCCCCATTCCCGATTGACGGCGATGGCGGTCGCAGCGCACCTAGGCCAAGATTGCAACGGCGAAGCGTAGCGAGCCGGTAAAATCTTGTGTATATATCGGAGGTTGGGGGGTGAGTCCGACGTGAAACGGAGACCCCCCCTACCGGGAAATCGATTTCGGTGCGCGCGTGCGGGCGAAGCGAAGCTGCCTGGGCGGGCGAGAGGAAATCCTCCTGTGGCTGGGCCGCGGCCGGACCAAATGTAACTCCTCTGGCGGCCGGTGCCGCGCGGTGTCCCGCCGGTGTCCCGCGGGTGTCCAGAAATCTTCCTGTGGCGGGGCCGCGGCCGGACCAAATGTAACTCCTCCGACGGCCGGTGCCGTGCGGTGTCCAGCCAGTGTCCCGCGGGTGTCCCGAAATCCTCCTGTGGCTGGGCCGCGGCCGGACCAAATGTTTCTCCTCCGGCGGCCGGTGCCGCGCGGTGTCCCGCCGGTGTCCCACTGGTGTCCCGAAATCCTGAGGTGAGGTTCGCGCGATTGATAAGCGCACGCGGGGACAGCGCTTCACGACAATGTCGAGTGCGCTTCGCCAACATCGCCACATCACATCACGCTCACGTGCACAATCACACTACTCACTAGACTCCGCCCCACAGGCATCGTCAGAACATCAATCACCACTTTTGTGCCCATTGCTGCCCCTCCCAACCTCCTTATCACCCGCAGGGTGGTCGTATAGGTATATGTATATATATCTATATATACACACTTCGGATGTGCATCACCTTGTACCTCTTCCTGCGTCCTGGTCCTCCCAGACCGCGTGTCACCGTCGAGTTGCGTGGACACAGTTACGGATGAATCCCGCTGCGGCCCATCCATGTGCACTTTGCATGTGTAGTCGGCTGCCCATCACACTCTGGCCATGCACTGGTGTGGCCACACAACCCAGATTGGGAAGTCTTCTGCCAATCCGAGATCTGTGCGCAAGATGGGCTTGGCCGTCGGGTCCGCGGCGGGCAATTCACGGGCCCAGGGATTGGGCCAGGCGTGTGGATTTCGATTTGGCCTTGCCTTGTTCTTGTCATAAGCTCTGGCCGGGTGGCTCGAGAGTGCTTGCAGTGATGTTGCCGCGCTGTGGCGAAGGAGAGAACAGGGGCGAAATTCGCGATGCTGGGGGGCCAGGCTCACCAAGAGCACCAAGTAGGCTTGCAATGGCGTGGTGGGAGAGGCCCCATTCCCTCGAGGCAAGGGGCGTGGCAAGGCGTTGCAGTGTGTCCGTGCTGCCGCTCGCATGTGCCGCTGCTGTTCGGCTTCTTGGCCACTCGCTTGCTCTGCGTGCGTGGATATCGCACACTCGCTCGCTCTGCGGATATCTACCCCAGCCATGCCCCTCGGATCGCGTGGTTGCTAAAGGTGTCCCTGGCCCAAGGTGTCCCCAGCTGTTCCCTGCATTTTGAAGCCCCTGGGGCCTTCTGGGACTGGTGAAGGGGTGTTCCGAAGACCGCGGAGGCCTGCGTGGACACCCTGGGTGCACAGTGAACCGAAGACATGTCTGACAACACCCGATCGGAGCCATCTGAAGAGGTCCTCCACCGGCATACGGCCTGCCGCGCACGCGCGCAGGACACCGCTATTAGGACGATCTTGCAGGTGCGCGAAGATGCTCGGCAGGCCAAGGACTACGCGATCAGCGACACGATCAGGGGCATGCTGGCGGAGGCAGGCATCGAGATCAAGGATGGCGTTGCCAGCCTGCCAGCCTCAGAAGCAACGTTAGGTGGGATAGGCTCATGGGGGGAGCGCATCGCCCCCTGATCGGCCATTCATCGCCGACAGGGGCCCGACAGCCCACCCCGCCCAGAAATGTGCGGCGTCGCTATCGGGGGCCTACCGCCAACCCATCGGCCAGGAACCGCCGGTTCAAGCTCGATGTTTCCTACCCCTGAGCTGATCCCCCTATCGTTGCCCCTCAATGGCGTTGCCAGCGGCCCCGCTTGTCTACGCGCATCGTTCGCCACAGGAGAAACCCTCGTCGCCACGGTTAGTCCTAACATGAGGAGTTGGCAATGGTGACATCCCATCCATCAGAGGAGCAATACAGATCGATAATAATGCGTTCCCCTCATGTCTTGTATTCTTGCTGTTTCGCGCTGACTCCAGAGACTAGGTCCGCTAGATAACTTCAGAATTACTGGAACGCATCCTGAGTTAATCGCATCATGACATCGTTCTCGTCCTATTACGATCCTGCGGCCCGCTCTAGAACGATTGTCGGACAGCACGGTAGAGCAGTACAGGGAGGCCGCCGCTCGATCTCTTCACCCCGGAGTGTTTCCCTGCCGCCGCGCGAGTGTTTGGGAGCACCGAGATGCAAATACAAGTGAGGCCATTTAGGCCCGAGCTCCTAGCTTGTGGCATCGTCGAGGAGTGCGAGGTCCACTTTGATATGCGTGCCGCGACACCCCGCTGGACCCCCGTGGCCGCACGGGGTAATTCGAGCATGCCTGCGCGCAGCGCGCCCCGCCTGTCTCCCAGGCTACGGCGCGCTGCGTGTGCTTGCCTGCCACCGGATTGTTCGCGCTGCGTTCGTGAATTCTCTATCCTTTGCATATTACGCAATGTGGTCCCAACCGCACTGTGCTGAAATCGTTGGCCAGAGCCCTCCACCAGACGAGTGTTCTCCCTCGTGTTACAGAGCGCTGGGTCACCCCCAGGATCGCGAGGGCTACTGGTACTCCACACGGGATGATCGCCAGGGCAGCATCACCGAGACCATCAATGGGGGCCCCATGACAGCTCCACCAGGACGATAGCCCCCGCTCCCAATCAGCTTCGATCACACGGCAAGGAGAATCGCAGTTGTGTTGCAATGCTTACTTGCGCCCTTTTTCATTTGGGGGGAGAAGAAGGAGGAGGAGGAGGAGCCAGGCACAACACCAAATATGCAGAATTGCTATTATGCGCTCTTTGTGCGTCTCGTAATGCAGCTTCTTTCGGGGAAACGTTGCTTCGCCACCAAGCACTTCCCTTGAGTCTCCCCATCTCCTCGAATCCCCTCACTTTCCCATCACCTCCCCCTCCCCTCCATCTTGTCCTTCTCCTCCACTCCCTGCGGAGCAAGGTGCAGGAGGAGGAGGAGGAGGAGGAGGAGAGCAGGAGGAGAGCAGGCGCGCATAGGAGGAGCAGAGGCGCGTGGATGAACGACGGGCCCCGCTTCTATACAATATGGGAGCGCTCCGTTAACCTCATGTTTCGGTGGGTGTTTTCCCCGATCCGTGGATATGGCGCCCACGCTCCAGATCCACGGATCCGTATCCATGCTAGGGTGTGCCCGAAAGGCGGAGTGAGGAGGATGATGAGCAAACGCAGGAGGAGGAGGAGGAAGAGGAGGAAGGCGGACTATGGGGATAAGGAGGAGGCACGACCCCCCGCAAGCAGAGGGGCAAAAGGAGAAGCCAGCGAGGCGAGAGCCGCGCAGCAGCACGCGAAGCGAGGAGCCAGTGAGGAGCAAGAGGGAGGGGAAGGGAAGAAAGCGGCACAAGCGGCGGGCAGGCAGCGGCAAGAGAGGCGGGTCCCTTATCTCTGCACCCTGGGCCTCTTCTGGGGACGGGCAACTAGATTTGCGAGAGAGTTGCAAAGCGCGTCACCCCACCCAAAATTCCGAAAATGCTCTGAATTTCCCTGGGGTTGGGAGGGGGGGGGGGGGGACGGGCTCTACGTTGGCCAGGATTCTGAGGTGGGGGAGGCATCCGAGAGGAGAGAGGATTAGCCTGTGCGACGCCGAGCTCGGCGTCGATCGCTGCAGCAGACAGGCCGTGGCGGCTCATCTCACTGTGGCACTGGCTGGCGCATCTGCCCTGGCCGCTGTTGCCGTCGGTGGTGGTGTGGCTGCTGTCCTTTTCCGGCATTGCTTTCCCCATGAATGTCAGCAGCAGCATGCGTCTCGTCTATACTGGTACGGCCTGCCACGCCGTGTTGTCCTATACATCGTCCAGGTACGTGTTCCGGATGCGCTCCAGGTGCGACATTGGTGCCATTCCGTTATTGATCGTGGCCCCCAGCTGCTCAAAGCAGGCGTACAATGGTTGCAGCATGTCAAGCTTGTTCATCGTGATCCGCGCGTCCGTCTCTTTGAATGTAGCCTGCACTTTCACCAGCGAGAAGGTTTTGGCCGCCACTTTCGGTGTCATGTCCGCGATCCTCGCCTTCAGGGTCTCCAGGTCCTTCGCGTTCTTCTGGCCGACTGCATTGCCCTGCGCCTTGCAGCCCTCGATGATGCTCGCCATGGCCGCGCAGCTGATCGTATTCAGCTTGCTCTCGATCTCGTCCTCCTTGTTGCGCTGCCACACCCCCTGTGCATTCTCGATCCAGGCCTTCACCCTCCCGCGCGCCTTCACCACGGGCTCCGTGTTCGCGCCAATGATCATCATCGTGAGCGTGACCGCTTCCAGCTGCCGCGTCCGCATCGCCAGGTTGAGAACCGTTTTCGTCAAGACGGGCACGAGTGTGCGGAGCTGCTCTACGTCCATCTTCTCCAAGCCGTCGATCTCCCCCTGCGTCACCACGTGGTTGTTTTGCTTTTGGCCCCTCGTCTTGCCCCGTCGCTCTGCTCCTTTTGCATCTCCTCCGTCGTCTCGTTAGCGCCTCCTGCCGATGGCTCCCTCCATCGCGGTGTCATTGTTGGCCTCTGGGATCTGGTCAAAGAGGCTCCCATATGTCCCCGCGCATAGGTGGGTAATGGGATGTCCTACTTGAACTCTGGCAGCGGCCTTGAAAGGTGCGTGGCCAAATGCGCTTGCAACTTCTCGAACCCTTCAAATGTCTCCAGATCAGGGCACATGGGGCAAAACCTTTCCATGGGCTCGATCACAGGGTGGTTGTATAGAGAGGCGTCGACTCAACATCGTCCATACTCGCACGCGTGCTGTAGGTGTCTGACTGTTGTCTGTCTACCTTTGAATGTGCTTCTGCATGCTACACATTGATTCGTCATCGTGATCCGTTCCGTCGTCTTCGGTCCCCCATGCTGTCCTCCCTCCGCCTGGTAATGGTGGGGCGTCCCGCATCCTCGTGAGCCACTCGCTGCGGAACTGGCGTACGTCCAGCAGGTTGAAGGCTGCGTTGGCGTTGCTCGCGGTGTCGAACAAGCTCGTGTATCCCCCGTCGAACAGGTCCAGAAGTTGCGGTCCCTCCTCTGTCACGTGCATGTGGTCGGTATCCCCCCTGAACTGTATGGCCCATTGGTTGGTGGCTCCCGTGCTTGGCGGTGTCATCGCCTCGGCGGGGAACCAGCTGGATTCGGACTCCTTCGCCAGTTCAATCTCTATGTCTCCGAAGCCCGCCGCCACCTGTTGCTTATGCCAGTGTGGGCGTCGTGAGATGGCCTGCCACTCTTTGAGTCGCTGTACGCGTAGCTCCACCGCCGTCGGTACCAGTCCCAGTCGTAACCATAATTATCAATAGTGTAGGTGGTGTGCGGATGACCTCGTATTAGCCTCCGCGCCCATCGTCAACAGTTACGCGGATTGCGACCTCATCAAGTAGTATTCGTCCGAATTTGAGACAGTGCTTGTCCAGCTTGTCCGTCTGCGCCGTGCTGAGGACCAGTCCCATTAGCCCAGCGGTTGCAACATCCAGCACCATGCTCATGTAAGCGATATGATTCATCTTCCATTGCGTGCATTCCGTCCATAATTTCTTCATTTGGTACCACTCTCTGCGCGTTGCAGCACGCCGCGCCTCAACCTCGGGCCAGAATTTGCTTCCTTCATGACCTTACTTGGGATGTCGCCGCCCATCATGATGTAGAAGACGTGTCGGTTGTATGCATTCGTTCCTGGGCCTACGTAGTGTGGGACCACCGCCTCATTGCGTTGGCTCCGTACCACTCCCAGTCCACGTAGTGTTGTGTCGAATTGCTTGTCGGAATACATGTTGACGTCGCGCGTGTGCCGTGGGTCGACGGTGCGGTAGGCTTTATTGACGTCGTCGGCGAAGACTCGCAAGGAGAGGTTCACCAGCTCGTCGGAGAGCGGCTAGCACGCCAGAGGCTCGCTGGGGTACTTCTCGTGGTGTAGCTGCTGTCAGTGGCGGCCTGGCACCGTAAAGGCATCCTGGAACACGATGGCCGCGTTGGAGTCTCCCATGTAGTTGCGTTCCTCGTTCTTGATCGCGATGATCTCGCCGTCTACCGCTATCTTGAAGCAGGCGCGTCGGTGCCGCTCTATGAGTAGCTCAGCGTCGTATTCACGGTACAGGCGTCGAACGGCGCCGTCCAGTTGTGGATGTCGTGCCGACGCGAAGGCGTTCTGCATATCGTGCTTCTTGTCCATCGTCGAGATCCGACGTTTCCTCATTATCCAGCTGATGCATGCCGTGGTGCGTATCGCTCCTGTCCGTGATCGTAAGGGGGGGTAGCCGTAGTCGTGGTCAGGTACTTGTTGTTGTTTGCGTTGTCTTGCCGAAGGAGCAGAGGCCGTGCAGCAGTCGCATGGACTTGGTGCCCTCCTTGTCGTTCTGCTTGCTTACCTGGTAGGTCTGCGGTATGTTCCAGTGTGCGATGAGACGCTGGTGTTGCCGTACCCTTAGATCTTGTAGCGGCGCTCCTGCCCCGAGCCTTGTTGTGCGCTCCGTGGTCGCTGGCCTCCACGAAAGCAAAAACTACCATATTTCCACAGGTACTGACCACAGTACTAGTGCTCGTCTTCGTTCGGTACTGCGTAGGGCGAAGCAGATCCGCTGGTAGTCCTCGGCGCCCTCCTCCAGGTCCTTCTACGTGGGTTGTGCGTGTTGGTCGTGGGTGCTGGCGTTGTTGATGAAGTCGTGCTCGTTGATCTCGCAGGCTTCGCCATGTCGGTCCTCCACTGCTCAGCCGTCTGTGTGCACGCTGCGATCATCTTGAAGTTGTGTCGCCGTGGTCCGATGCCGCCTCCTGCGATCAGTCTGCAGATTCGCCACTCCTCCTGTGCTTGCCCTCGTCGGTGCGCTTCGTCTAGTTCTTCAATCAGCTGTTGTTCGCGCTGTTCCCGTAGTCGCTTCCTCATCTGCTTGCACCGTTTTGTGAACCGGTGTAGTTGGAGTATCGTCTCGGTGTTTTCGGTGATTGCTTCGCGTGCGGAACCCCGCTGTCGTAGAAGTCGTACTCGTTCCGCTTCAAGATCTTAGTATGCCTGTGGCATGGCTTTCGCTGTCGCTTGGCGCATTTCCTGCCCTTCGCGTTGCACCAGGCCCTACCAGGCGCCTTCATCGAGCCGTACGCGGCCAAGATGTCTTGGATGTCGTTGTAGCCTGTCTCCGTCACGTAGTCGTTAATGGCGCGCTCGATCTTCTCGCGGAGCGGGATGGCCTTCTGCTCTTCAGTGCCTCTGCCATCTTGACATAGTCCCAGCGTGGTGCCTGTGGTGCCGTCGTATAGTCCAAGTCCACGTTGATGTCCAGCATGAAAGCCATGTGGTCCCTGAGCGGTGAGTCGGGGATCGCCTGCAGACGTCGTGTCGAGCGCTACGCCTGGCCGAACTTGATGACTCTGTCCAGCATGGCGCTCGGTATCAGGACGTGGTCGATCCAGGAGACGTGCTGCTTGCCGCGGGTCTGACCTCCGTAGAAGCTCGGGCCGCTCGGGTAGTCTGTGTCGAGTACTACCATGTCGTTGTTCTCCGCGATGTTCCTGATTTTGGTGCCTGCGTAGTGCTCGAGCTGTCGTGCATGTGGTCCAACACTCTCGCTCTCGATGTGCTGTGGCCCCGTCGGTGTACTCATGATTCCAGTGCCGTCGTTCGTGTCTGTGCCGATGATCACCCTGGCAGTGTTGTCATCACTGGCAGTGTTGCCAACAGCGATGATATGAAATCCTCCAGCGCGTTCGCGGTGCTCTCGATGTGATGCTGTTCGCGTCCGTCACGGCTTCTCGGGCAGAAACAAATCCCAATAAGGGTGATGTCGTAGGTCGTGCTTCGTAATCTGAGTGCTCCAGCTCGTCTTTGAATTGCCGTCGTATGTGTCCAGATGCGGATGATATGTTTACTTCTGATCGTCGCCTTGTTGAGGAAGATCGAAATGCCACAGGCCCTGTTGCTCAGCCTGGCGTTCTTGCCACTGCCGAAGAGTACGGCACGGAAGTGCGGGAGGTCCTCCACTTTGTACGGCGTCCTTGTCTTGCGTTGCGTGTCGATCAAAATTATGGCGTCGGCCGTGTGGTACTCGTAGGCTATCTCCAACTCTCTGTCGCGGTCGGCCAAGCTCAGCGGGTTCCAGATCACGCGCACCAGGGTCGGCAGGCGCGAGCGCGGTGATCCCGCCAGCCCGTCTGACGGGGCGCGGGCGGAGGGGGTGGAGGCCCACGTTGGCTCCAGGGCGTCATGGCCATGGCGCGGCCACGGCCCCGCTCCTGACAGATCCCACGTGGCTAGGCGGAGGAGGAGGAGGAGGAGGAGGAGGAGGAGGAGGAGGATAGAGCAGGGAGGATGAAGAAGGAACGCTCGTCTTCAAACGAAATATCCGAGGTCGCCCTCGGCAGCGCACGCTGGCACATGTCTGCTGCACGACCTGTTTGGATACCTGATATTCCATGCTACTCCTTTCGATGCATGAGTCCAAGCTGTTACTCACAGTTCCTCCGACCGAGGGCCTCCATTGGAATCCCACCTGCGACTTGCCAATCTGCGGATTTTGGTCATGCCAGCAGTTATGGCCGGCTTTGGTTGCGTGGCCCAAGCTACACCGAGCCACTGGCGAGAATGGTGGTCTGCCCGTCATGGCTTGCCGCACGAGATGTGGCGCTCTCGGGAGCGGGGCTTGTTAGGGCGTTCCACAAAGGACCTCGCTTCCGCCGCCTTCCGCCGCCTCGCTTGCTTGCGCGGCGGAAGGCGGCGGAAATACAAATAGTACGTTTGGGTTCAGGAGCAGTTGCAGTGTTATCCGAGGTGCCAGTGGGGGCGTAAACATTTATCGGAGGATGCTGGGACTTCAGCGTTCTCTGGGGGAGCTCGGGCCGGGCCTCGAATTCACAAGAGGCTTGGAGCACTCATAAGAGCCTTCGTCGACAGGTCTACACATTCAGAAAAGCTGGCCGCGATCACGCGTGATGTTGTCCGGCCACATCTCGGTCTGAAGGCGGCTGTACGGCGCCATTCCGCAGCGCGGCTGCCAGTGGCGTCTGCTGCACCCCCCGAGGGCAGGGCTGCGGGGGTCGGCGCTCCGCGTTGCCAGCCATACGCTGGAATGTCTGTGACACCTGATGCAGGTTGTTCCCAACCAACCTGTGTTGTTGGGTCCTCGTTTTGAAGAGACGGTCCCCCGCGTTCCTCCTTCCTTCCTCCTCCCCCCTCCTCCCCCTCCCACACAAATTCTGGCACACCCCTCACACGCTTCGTGGCCCCATAGGGAGCTCCACCGAAGGCCCCAGTGGCTGCGCCCGCATGCGGTTCCACCCCCCATTCTGGCACACCCCTCACACGTTTCGTGGCCCCATAGGGAGCTCCACCGAAGGCCCCAGTGGCTGCGCCCGCATGCGGTTCCACCCCCCATTCTGGCACACCCCTCACACGTTTCGTGGCCCCATAGGGAGCTCCACCGAAGGCCCCAGTGGCTGCGCCCGCATGCGGTTCCACCCCCCATTCTGGCACACCCCTCACACGTTTCGTGGCCCCATAGGGAGCTCCACCGAAGGCCCCAGTGGCTGCGCCCGCATGCGGTTCCACCCCCCATTCTGGCACACCCCTCACACGTTTCGTGGCCCCATAGGGAGCTCCACCGAAGGCCCCAGTGGCTGCGCCCGCATGCGGTTCCACCCCCCATTCTGGCACACCCCTCACACGTTTCGTGGCCCCATAGGGAGCTCCACCGAAGGCCCCAGTGGCTGCGCCCGCATGCGGTTCCACCCCCCATTCTGGCACACCCCTCACACGTTTCGTGGCCCCATAGGGAGCTCCACCGAAGGCCCCAGTGGCTGCGCCCGCATGCGGTGGCTGCGCCCGCATGCGGTGGCCCCATAGGGAGCTCCACCGAAGGCCCCAGTGGCTGCGCCCGCATGCGGTTCCACCCCCATTCTCTCACACGTTTCGTGGCCCCATAGGGAGCTCCACCGAAGGCCCCAGTGGCTGCGCCCGCATGCGGTTCCACCCCCCATTCTGGCACACCCCTCACGCGTTTCGTGGCCCCATAGGGAGCTCCACCGAAGGCCCCAGCGGCTGCGCCCGCATGCGGTTCCACCCCCCATTCTGGCATATCCCTCACACGTTTCGTGGCCCCATAGGGAGCTCCACCGAAGGCCCCAGTGGAACCGCCCGCATGCGGTTCCACCCCCCATTCTGGCACACCCCTCACACGTTTCGTGGCTCCATAGGGAGCTCCACCGAGCGCCCCAGTGGCTGCGCTCGCATGCGGTTCCACCCCCCCCATTTCGGCACACCCTTCACTCGTTTCGTGGCCCGGGGGCGCCACCGAAGAATATATCCACAATTGCGGTATTCACAACTACGTATGGTTGGGTCTTTCGTCAGGCTAATTTTTCCCAGTGCGAGACCTGAGATCTCCACGACAAGGCTATGCTGACCCGATTGCGTTAGCAATGCCGATCGAGTGGACCGTTTCAACTCGGCCTGCTGGATCTCCACTCGTCGGAACCGCATCTATGTATGGAGCTCCCAGTGGCCCTGGTCGCCACCGCCCCCCTCCCCGCCTCGCCCTTTGTATGTCGTCGACGCCCCCGCGCCCCTGGGGCGAGCGCGCGCGGCGCGGGCTGGGCGGCCCCTGGGCTGGGGCTTGCGACCTGGCTGCGATGGCTCCGGGGGCTGCCATGGTAATTAGGGGGGAGCTGAGTATCGCTTGGCCGACCCCCATCCCCATCCCCATCCCCATCACGACCCCCACCATCTCGGCACCCCAGTTGGGGATATACCCTTCGAAACCCGAAGGGAACAGCCTGTATCCCCATCTACGGGTATAAATCGGCCAGTGGGGCCCTGGCCACGCCCATGGGGATAGGGGTCGGTTAGACAATGCGCTGATGAACCCGCAAGTCGTTTTGGGGGGCGGGGCTTCCGGGGGTGGGGTCGCCCCGATCTCACCAGGCGTGCCAGCAAGGCCAGTCTCATTAGACATTCGGTTGCCCCCATCCACTCCCTCATCACTCCACATACCTTCCTCTTCCATTCACCCTCCTCTTCCTCCTCCTCCTCCTCCTCCTCCTGCTCTTCTTACCTCTCCCCCATCTCCCAGAAGGCCTCGGTCTGGGAAGACACAGCTTGCTAGTCACAGGCGTAAGGCGTGCCGCTCGCAGTCGGAGCAGACACCAGGATCTCGTGGGACTGTACATGCCTCCGAACCCGCAGCATGCGATAACTTTCCGCCTCATGTTGTCGAGCAGCGCATCGGACCACATAGGATGGGGCAGGCGTTCGGTCCAAGTTGTGTTTGGACTTCATTGCGTGACATTCTTGCCCTGGCTCTCAGGGGTTGCTGGCGTGCCAGGTCCACTGCACTTCGACCCTGCAGCCTGAGGTGGTTTTCCGAGGGAGACGGCTTCGCGTTCCCCACGCCAAATCCTTTTCCAGCGGTCTTTAAGAGACTGGGAGTTGTAAAATGTCGGGGAGTGATCGACGTTCCTAGAAATGTCCCCTCCGAGCTTAGCACGCACTGGGCTGCTGGACACCTACAATCGGTCTCGATGAGCCTTTGCCTGGCAATGGGAAGGTCGCCCACCATCTGCACATACTAGGACTGCCTCCAGTGCTATCCATGGTGAAAAATTGCTCGCGTGCCCTGTGCCCGAGGCGCTGGCCCACCTGGTGGGAGGCCGACACCATCGGAGAGGCAGATGCTTTCTGCTTAGATGCGCTCAAGCGTCTGGACCAGCTGAGCATCGGGAGCAGGCGAGGGGTGCGCGCACGTGCTTCACGTCAAGAGGGCAAAGCGGTCGCTTGCAGGTCATTCGCAGCTGGTACCCGCTGGCCCCAACACAACTGCACGATCTCGTCGCCACAAACATTCTGGCTCAGCGGTACCGGGAGCTGGCTGGGATTGCAGCGAGTGGCAAGATGATGTTTTTGTATTGGGCGCACACGACCGAGCGAAAATGTGCCCCAGGAAGTTCTCGATTTGGGGGATCAGATTTCCCAATTGCGTTTATGATCAACGAGTGTTGCTCGGAACCATTCCCGGGACGACAAACGGTGATTCCACAATTAGGTGTTGTCTCATGGGCTCCTGAATATTCTGTGCAATGTTTAGGTGGCAGTACGTTCCCGTCTCCCTCAGTTCTTCAATGTTCCTCTCCCGCCAGCTGCTGCATAAGCTCCATCCAATTACCCAAAGAGTCTTCTCTTTTACCATGACTTGGCCTTTGGCGGCTTAGTTTTCGATGATGTTTTGAATTTTGGAGTTTACAACTCAGATTGCCTTTAGCCAGCGCTTGAAGTTTTCACAAATTTGCACGTAGAATTTGTTTAGCGTGACTTGAGTCTGCATTGAGCCTGCTATTTGCTAACTGTCCAGCTTGCGATTCACACAGTGCTTGTACTGAAGGATTCACACTTGGGTGGTGATGAATCCGCCATGCGTGCAAGAACTGGCCGTGGGCTCCACGGAGTCCTGGTGGTAAGCGTTCGAGCCAACGCCATCGCGCGCTGGTTCTGGCAGGGCAGGGTCACACCCATAGGGTCAGAGGCGTGACGCTGCCATGGGAGGAGTTCCCCCCCTCTTCCCCTTTGCCGCCCCGCTCCTCTTCCCCCTTAATCTGCAGAGGCGGCAGTTTTGCTGCTTTTCGAGAAGAATCGTAGTCAGAAGCAGTTCACACGTGGTTCGATCACGTCCCAACGAACCAACCGACCAATCCAGTGGCGGGACGGCAGTGGGGTCCGGCGGCGGAAGATATGGGGTCCTACCCATCGGGTTCGGCGTCCCATCTATGGGGTCCCAGCAAGGAGGTCATCATCATCATCATACGTACGCGCATTGGCGACGCAAGAAGGGGGCCCTATTACGACGACGTTCGCGTGTAAGCTTCCTGCGTAAGGTCGCGCGTAATCGCCCTCGTTTCCCACGCGGCGTACCGCGCTGGCTGCCCGCGTAAGCCGCGGTGTAAGGTCGCTACGTTGCATCTCGCGCAAGGCCTGTTTCTTTTCGTCGCTCATATGAACAATCCAACGATTTTTTTCTCCGGATCCCATCCACCGGATCCCCATGGGATCTCGGTTGCGGGGTCCAACGCATAGGGTCCAGCCCATGGGGTACCACTGACAGGGTGGCGTCCCACCCATAGGGCCCCACTCACATGGTTTCACGCATCGGTCTTCACTTATGGGGCTGATTCCTCCCCACAGGGTCCCATCCCATTGGGTCCCAGTTACAGGCTCCACTCATGGGGCTCCACCTGTAGATTTTATTCCGTATGCGCACCCATGTGATGCACCCCATGCGTTACAGCCTATTGGTTGCAACTCGTGAGTCGCATCCAGAATGGATTGCGCCCAATGTGACGCACGCACGAGGAGTTACACCCCAGAAGTTGTGCCCAATCAGCCATACATTGCACCCAGCAGATTGCACTGCATACGTTGCTCACTCTCGATTCCATTCCACACTTTGTGCATCACCAAGTCTACGTCGTTACACGTACGAGGTGTTTGAGGTCCACGCGTTTACACCAATTGTTTGTGCGTTGGTTTACCATGCTTAATCATCTTGCCGCGGGTTTTCTTTTCGCTTGCGTTTGCCTTGTCGTCATGTTGTATTCCGCTTGCCTTCAGTGTGCTTGGTAGCTTGTTTTCAGCTCGCCTAGGTATAGTATAACTGGTGCCTCATATAACGCAATACACGCACATACAGCTCGAACGGCACATAAATCGCACGCAGCACGAGCAGTCATTCGATTCCCTCCTTCTCCGTGCCCTCCTGATTGTCCTTGTTCTCGTCATGCGCCTCCTCTCCCTCACATTTGTCCTCATCTCCCCTGTAGTCCTCCTCATTCTCATCCTCATGCTCCTCCTCCCCCGTCTCCCTCGTCGTCCTCGTCCTCCTCGTCATCCTTGTCTTCATCCGCCTCTGACCTTCTCCACATCGTCCTCATCGTATTTATCCTTCTTCCTCGCCTCCTCGTAGTAGGTTCTCGTCGTGCTCGTCCTTCCTCGTGCATCCTCCTCCTCTTCGTCGTCCTTGTTCTCGTGCTCCTCCTCGTCCTCCACCTCGTTCTTCTCGCGCTTCCTGTCCTCGCTCTCACATGTGTCGCCACGTCGCTGTGGATGCAAAGACTTGCGCCCGCGCCCGCGCATGCCTGCAGAATCGGCGACTCCTGTGTGAAGTGGACAGGGAGAAGGAAAGACCAGCGCACGCGCCGACAGGTTCGGCAGATCGCCTTGTCATTTGTCGCCGTAGCACTATCGGGCATTCCAACGAAGGCTTCCCTCTTGAGGGATCGAGAACTTGGTCTCTCGCCCTCGGAGGAATCCCAGCCGAAGCCGGTGAGATTAAAACGAAAGCGTCTCCGCCAGCGGAAGGTCGGCGGAAATTGGTGGAAGTAGAAGATGTTCCCCAGGGGATGAAGGTTTTCTGGACCCAGGTTTTCCGGAGCAGGCCATTTCGGCTCAGGCTGGTTCGGTCCCCCGTGCCGCAGGAGTGCCCTTGCGCCGCCCGGCAGCAGGCGCCACCCGCCAACATGATCCGGAACGTCACGCGGGAGCTCGAAGCGGCCAACGAGGCAGTCGGTGACCAGGAGGATGTCTGCGACGTGGCCCTCGTGCACAAGTTGGAGGCGGAGTCGGAGGCTCGGGTCGGACGAAGGGGGGGGGGATCGGGAAAGGGGGGATGCGACATCTGCTGCGTGCAGCTGATGTCGGCCCCGCCGCTGGGCGCTTTCCTCTAGGCATTTGCGCCTCCGGCGCCAGGAGGTGGCAGCGCTTCTGTGGGGTGCAGATGCCCGCAGCAGCGTGAGATAAGGGGAGGAGGAGCGGGATGGAGGCGGAGGAGGTGGAGGAAGGAGGAGGTGTAGGAATAGGAGGAGGAGGCGGAGGAGGAGGCGGAGGAGAAAGGATGAGAAAGGAGGAGGAGAAAGGATGAGAAAGGAGGAGGGAGGAGGAGGAGGAGGGGGGAGGAGAAAGGAGGAGGAGGAAGGAGGAGGAGAAAGGAGGAGGAGGAAGGAGGAGGAGAAAGGAGGAGGAGGAAGGAGGAGGAGGAGGAGGAGGAGAACCGCCCTTTGCCGCGCTGCACCCCGTGCGACCCGAGAGGTGCGCGTCGCCGGGCCGCCCCAGAGGTCGGCGAAGAGGCGCGAGGAGGTGGTCGAGGTCTTCATGGGCTGGCAGAAGCGCGCAGCGCAGCAGGCCAGGTGCAACGATGGGACGATGGGGGGAGGTAGGCAAAGGGTGATACGCATCGACCCCCAATCGCCCATTGATCGCCGATCAGGGGCCCGATGGCCCCACCCCGCCCAGGAAAGGGCGGATCTGCTGTCGGGGGCCTATCGCCGATCTGTCGGCCATGTGTCGTCGATTCCAGGTCGATGTTTCACCCCCTTATGCCAGTCCCCCCCCGCCCCATCGTTGCCCCTCGAGGGCGCGTCCCGCCTGCGGGCCCTTCGGGGCGAGTCGAATGTTCTGCTGTACCGGGTCGCGTTCGCGCAGGACGAGCTGGTGCGCGCCCGCCGCGAGCGGGCCAACATGGGCCTGCGCCCGAAGAACGTGCGGGCGGCCCGGTTCGTGGCCCGCAGGATTCGGAGGAGGGAAAGTTACCGATACCGCCTTGTGGGGCCTCCTGGGAGGCCCTCATCGCCATCGCTGGATTCGCCTCGGAATCCTGGTGAGCACGCATCCCAGGAGAGGTCCGGGGAGTAGCCGTAAACACATATAGCACCCCGCAGTCGCGGATAAGAGGGGGCGGAGGGGCGCCTGCAGTCTGTGAGGCTCTGAAGAAGCCCGCCGCAGGCGCCTATACAACGAGCCTGCCGCAGATGCCGATTTTTCGTAAAAGAAATGTGGGTGAGTCGCGGGATGGGTCGCGGGTGGGTCGCGGGATGGGTCGCGTGTGGGTCGCGGGTGGGTCGCGGGCGGATCGCGGGCGGATCTCGGGGTGAGTGGCGGGTGGGTCGCGGGTCGGGTCGTGGGGGGGACAACGCCAAACAACAACAACAACAACAACAACAATCATTTAAGACTGGGGACACTCCGTTCTCACCAGTGCCAGGGTTTTCATAGGAGGCGGGCAATACCCCCACTTTGTGGGGGGGCCGGTTCAAGCTCTACCAAATTTCCAAACGACTCTTCGCCACCACCCACACCCAGCTTCCCGCCCTATGACGTTCGGACACTTCACTTCGTGGCATGCGGACGACCGTGGCTACTATTCAGGGCCCCGCGGCCGACGACGACGGCGTGCGCGCGCGAAGAAAAAACGAATGTGTCCCGCATGGTATTATTTGACAGGGATGATGGCCCTGGCAGGTGCGCAACCGTTGTCGCAGAAGTTCGAAAAAGTTGCTCGCAAAAGCCCGTTTGACAGAAATGTTTAAAAAGTGTTGGGTTTCCTACGAATCCGCAAGAGCGCGCGGGATGAGATTTTGACATTTTTTTGTTGAAAAACCATTGGTTTTTTGATGTTTTTATGTTAAAATCGCTCCGAACACTAAGCTTTTGGAAGGATTTCGTCTTGCGCGCGCGAATGTCCACTTTACCTTATTTTTTGCAAGGGATTCTTGAAATTTGATTATATTAGAACAAGAAATGTCATTTTATAGTGTTTTTTGCAAGGGAAAGCGGGGGGGAACAAAACAACCGGATCTTGATCACATCGAATTACCTGAGGCTTCCTCACGAAAATGATGAAAATGTAGCTGCGGCCTAGGCGGCGCAGGGGGGCCGTGCACCAGGGGTCCCAACAATAATTATTCTTTAGAATTAATAATAATGTTCAACAACAACAACAACAACAACAACAACAATCATTTTACCCGAACGCTCAGTGTTCTCACCAGTGCCAGGGTTTTCATGCGACGCGAGACAATACCCCCACTTCGTGGGGGGGCAGTTCAAGCTCTACCAAATATCCAAACGACTCTTCGCGACCACCCAAACCCAGCTTCCCGCCCTATGACGTTGGGACACTTCACTTCGTGGCGTGCGGACGACCGTGGCTACTACACTGGCGTGGGGTACACACCCACAGAACTTGGTCACTTATTCGGGGCGCGCGTGTGCCCAGCATCCTGCAATTGTGACATACAATACATGACACAGACAGACAGAGAGAGAGACAGAGAGCAGACAGAGAGAGAGACAGAGAGAGCGGAGTTGGTCACATTTTTGGGGCAAGTTCCTGAGATCGTCGTGTTTTTTGTTGGTCTTGCGCGCGCGAATGTCCACTTTACTTTTTTTTGCAAGGGAGTATTGAAATTTGATTATGTTAGAACAAGAAAAAGTAGCTCGCGCGAGCTCATGTAACATAAATGTTGAAAAACCATTGGTTTTGTGGGAGTCGGACAGCGCGCGCGGGATGAAATTTGGACATTTTTTTTTGAAAAACCATTGGGTTTTTGATGTTTTTATGTTGAAATCGTTACGAAACCTAAGGTTCTGGAAGGATTTCGTCTTGCGCGCGCGAATGTCCACTTTACCTTATTTTTTGCAAGGGATTATTGAAATTTGATTATGTTAGAACAAGAAAAAGTAGCTCGCGCGAGCTCATGTAACATAAATGTTGAAAAACCATTGGTTTTGTGGGATTCGGACAGCGCGCGCGGAAGGACATTTTGACAATTTTTTCTTAAAAAACCATTGGGTTTTTGATGTTTTTATGTTAAAATCGCTACGAAACCTAAGGTTTTGGAAGGATTTCGTCTTGCGCGCACGAATGTCCACTTTACCTTATTTTTTGCAAGGGATTCTTGCAATTTGATCAAGTAAGAACAAGAATTTTCATTTTCTATTGTTTTTTGCAAGGGAAAACGAGCGTCAACAAAAAACCGGATCCGGAGCTCATCCACTTTTCTGAAGCTTTCGCGAAAAAATGATGAAAATGTAGCTGCGGCCTAGGCGCGGCGCAGAGGTCGCGCACCAGGGGTCCCAACAATAATAATTCTTTAGAAGGAATAATGTTTAATAATAATAATAATAATAACAATAACAACAACAACAACAACAACAACAACAACAACAACGACAACGACAACGATAACGATAACGATAACGACAACGACAACAACAACATCAGCAGCAGCAGCAACAATAAATACAACAGCATTAACAGGAACACCAGGAACAACATGAACAGGAATAACATCGACAATACCAACTCTTACCACAACAGCAACAACAACACCAACAACAGCAACACTAGGAACACCATCAACAACGACAACACTATGAGCACCATCAACAACAACACTTACAACAACGGCAACAAGAACACCAACAACACCCACAACAACAACACCAACAACAACGACAACAGCATTAAACAACAGCAACAACCAACATCAAACATCATCAGCAGCAGCAACAATACTCCGCATCGCGGAAGTCCACTTCAGCCACGCACCCAGGGGCAGTGAATGACCGTTCGGCTTCCTCACTCTGACCTGTTCGTATCCACGCAGGATCAGGACCATCCGCCAGTACCTCGAGGGTGAGCTCATCCCCAGGCGCGAGGAGCTGGAGCAGGAGATCGGAGCCCTTCCTGGGCACAGTGAGCAGTCGCAGGCGGCGGCGGGGAGCCTGAAGCTGCTGGCCGACGCCTCGCTGGCAGCAGCATCCGCCAAGCTCAGGGAGTCCCAGGGCCGCTTGCAGCGCGCAGAGGGCGCGCACGCGGAGGCGGCGCGGCTGCTCGAGGAGCGCAGGGCTGCGGCTCGCGGGCTGGAGGAGGAGGACGCGCGCGGCAGGGCTGCGGCCCTCGAGCCGCGCCTGTGGAAGCGCGCCGCGCTGCCGACAGGCCCTGGGGTCGCCGCCGACGGCTTCCGGAGCCGCCACATCGCGCGCCTGGCGGCCAGCATGAAGATGGACTGGTGCGTGGCGTCGCGGAGTGCGGCGGGCGAGGCGAAGCACTGGGACATCCGCGAGTTCTTAGATATCCCCGAGGTGCAGTCCGTGCGGGAGTTGGAGGCGCATGGCGAGCGGGGCAGGTACTTGCTGGCCACCACCGATGGACAGGCTGCGGCGGTCAAGGTTCGGAGACTGCCACAAGCATTGTGTTGCGACGTGTTCGCATGGTTGCTCACGCTTGCTATTCTGGACTCCGAACAGTGGGTTCTTGCACCGTGGGTTCGCAAGCTGTGTGGAGCAAGCCAGGTGGCGATGTGGTGCAACCTGTGCGTGCTGCAAGTAATGTGGTGTGAGCAGTGTGGTGCGAGCAGTGTGAACAAACTTTTCGTGGAGCAAGCTATGTGGTGTAATCAGTGTGGTGTAAGCTACGTAGTGGAGGCTATGCGGTGTCAGCTAGATGATGTAGGCAAAGTGGCGCAAGATACGCAATGCAAGCAACGTGATGCAAGCAGCACGAGGCGCCCACGAGGCGCCCACGGCCGCCCACCAGGCGAAACCTCAGCAGGGCCAGCCAGCGGACGGGGCGCTCACGAGGCGCCCGCAGCCACCCACCAGGCGAAAGGGAAAGAAGCAAGATGTCCTAAGTGCAAGCGCTGCTTGGGGACCAGGGCACAGAAAAGGTGCACAGGCTGACGCCACTTCCGCCGACCCCTCGCACTTGAGACTTCAGCTGGCCATTGCAGGCGCTGTTTCAGTAAAATCAGAAGGAGCAGTGGAGAAGGACAGCAGGAGGAGTAGAGGAGGATAACGGCGACGGCACCACGGAAGATGATGATGATAATAATGATAATGATGACGATGATAATGGTGATGATGATGTTGCTCCTGATGATGATGATGATGATGATGATGGTGATGATGGTGATGATGATGTTGATGATGTTGATGTTGATGATGATGATGATCATCATCATCATCATGATCAAGATTATGATCATGATCATAATGGTGATGATGATGATGATGATGATGATGATGATGATGATGATGATGATGATGATGGTTCGAAAGAGGACCAGGAGGAGGAGGAGGAGGAGGAGGAAGAGGAGCAGCAGAAACTCTTGGGCCCTCTTGGGACGTTCGAAGGCATCTTTGGGCCCTCGACTCCGGCCACCGGCGGACGGGAAACGGACTTTCGCTCTTACTGACACCCGGAACACCCGGGACACCGCCCGGCCCAACTGGGACACCTCCCAGCCACTGGCGGACGGGAAACGGACTTTCGCTCCTACTTCGGCCTAGCTACAGGAGGATCACGCGCAGCTTCGCCTCGCCCGCACGCACGACATGAACACGAAACCGAAACCGATTTCCTGGTGGGGGGTCTCCGTTTCACTGCGATCTCACCCCCCAACCTCCGATGACGTATAACGGTATGTTGCGCTACACGAAGATTTGACAAGTCATGTGAATGTATGCCTTGCATTGCCATCTCACGTGTTTGCAAGCATTGCTACGCCATGCTATGACTAGCAGTGCTAGCTTGGCCATGTTATACCATACAGTATTGTAGTACGCGATGGTACGCAACACGATGCAGTGATGCGGCATGTCGTTGTGCTATTCGTCGATATGCCATGTTGTTCAGTCTCATCTGATGTATAAAACTTTGTCCTTAAGAGCAACGTTGGCCAGATTGGACCCAAAACAAACAGTTTTTGCAATGTGTATGTGTAAGCCATGTGGAACTTGAGGTCGCCTTCTCCATTGCTCGCGCAATCACCCCATCCTCCCACCCACAACTGTTTGCACGTTCTATGCTGCCGCGATTGTGGTGGCTACTTTGTTGCTGGCTGGCGCATCTTTGCGGCTGCGCTAGCACGCGCAAGCTACCGCGCAGAGCCGCCAGCTGGTTCGGCACAACCGATGCGGCCGCGATGACGCTTACCGATGGTAACTTCCCAGCGCGTCTAGAAGGTCGCGCTGGCGTGCGGGCACTTCAGCGAGTATTGGTGACTCGGGCGTGCGCGGTATCATGATGCCGTCCGTCGGCAACGGCTGCAACGGTGATGATAGTAGCGGTGCTGGTGACGATGACGACGATGGCGACTGCAAGGCCAATGACGGCGCCGATGCTGGTGACGACGATGGCGATGAGGATGCCAATATGTCGGTGGTGAGGGTGGTTGAGTGGTGATAGCAGCAATGGCGGCGAGTGAAGGTGACGATAACAGCGGTGATGCGGCTGCGCTGATGAGGGTAGCGATGGGGAACCTACTTGATGTTAAACACGCATGGTGGCTAGTTTTCGGAAAACAAAACGACACAATCAAACATCAGCCCATGGCAGGCACAAACCAGCATTCCACAACGGAACCGTACCGAACACGGCGCGGCCTATAATCCCAAACCAGAGAAAACACCGACCCAGAAACGGGAAACAAACAACGCTGATCTCGAGCGTTGAGAACATTGGCCCCGCGTTGTTAGCATCATCCAAGATTAGGAAGCGCGCGCGGACATGCACGAACTTGTGCGAATTGCCTCTCGGAATGCACGTGGTGTTCCACACGCGTTGGAAGGCTCTTTCTTGAATTGCTTCGAAAACCAGTGGTTTTGGACGAGTTTCGACATTCGCGTGTGGCCGCGCGCGCATGTGGCCCGCATTGTATTATTGAATCGCTTCGCTCATTCCGCCGGCCCATAGTGTAGCGTCGCTGGCACTTGCTTGCGTGCTCGGGGGGGCATTTGGGTGGCCTCCTGGGGCCGCTTGGGGGCCTCTTGGGGGCCTCCTGAGGGCCTGTTGGGGGCCTCTTGGGGCCTCTTAGGGGCCTCTTGGGGCCTCCTGGGGACTTCTGAGGGCCGAGGGCTCGAAATATTGTTTCGTGTTCCCCCCCTGGGGTCCCTCTTGGGGCGTTCTTGGGGCCCTCTTGGGCCGTCTTGGAGGCCTCTTGGGCCGTCTTGGAGCCCTCTTGGGCCGTCTTGGGGCCCTCTTGGGGGCCTCTTGGGCCCTCTTGGGGCGGTCTTGGGGGCCTCTTGGGCCGTCTTGGGGTGTCGTGAAGCCGAAAAGGTGGAAACGCCAAAATCTCTCCAAAACCTAAGGAAAAGCAGTGAATTTTGCCTCTTGGGGCCCTCTCGGGAGTGCTCTTGGAGGCCTCTTGGGGCGTCTGGGGGCCATCGTGGGCGTCTTGGAGCGATCTTGTGGCATCTCGGACCCCTCATGTAGCATCTTGGGGGCCTCTTGGAAGCCTCTTGGCCCTTCTTGGGGCTCTCGGGGACGTCTCGGAGCCGCGTTGGTGCGCTGCTGGAGCGCCCTGGTGACTCCTCCCGGGACTCTCTCGGGACCTTGCCGGGTACTTTCCGCCCGGGGGCCCCCAGGGGCCGCCCCGCGCGCGCGAAGTAGAAAGATTGTAAAGCAGTCACCGGAGCATTGTATTATTTGATACGGATTCGTGTGCTAGGCGCATGCTGGGCCAACGCGGATACACTGCGTGGTGAGATAGGAGATAGGAATACGGTGTCTGAACGGGGTTGTTACGCCCATATGAGTTCCCCGTGCTTTCAGCAAATGCGACGGGCAGAACGATTGCAATCTCTGATGTGGGGAACATACGGGTTTGGTATGTTGCGTGTGTTGGGGTGTTTGCAAAACTCTCGTGTTTGATGCGATTCGGCACGTGCGCGTGCGAGTGGGCTTTGCGCGTTTCTCTTCAAAAGGAATGTTGGAGCATTGCCTTGTATCATAGCACCAGAGTAAAAATCCCCACTCAGTGGATGGTTTGAAATCTAGTGATATGGATATTGAGATCGATTGTGAGATCCATTGTGGACCCGATGGTGAGGACGATTGTAAGGTCGATCGTGAGACCGATCGTGAAGTCGATTCAATGATATCGATCGTGAGATCGATCGTGAGATCGCTCGTGCGATCTACAATGAAATCGATTGTGAGATCGATTGTGAGATCGATAGAGAGGTGGGTAATGAGATCGATGGAGAGACCGATCGATAAGGAGATCGACAAGGCACCCAGGAACCCGGGAACCCCGCCGCCGACCGAAATCGGCCCGGCACCCCGAACCGGGAAATTGGGAACCCGGCCGCCCAACGAAATCGACCCGGAGTTTTCGCCAAATCTTTCAATCTCCGTTGGGACCCCTTCAGTGTAAGCACTGATTGGGGAATTCGCCGGCCCAACGGGCCAGAGGCGTGCTAAGATCTCCGGTAACTGGTTAAGAATTCTCTAGTTCGCGCGCGCGGGGCGGCCCCTGGGGGTCCCCGGACGAAAAGTACCCCGGCAAGGTCCTGAGAGAGTCCCGGGAGGAGTCCCCCAGAGCGCTCCAGGAGCGCTCCATGAGCGCACCAACAGGGCTCCGAGACGTCCCCGAGAGCCCCAAGAAAGGCCAAGAGGCCCCCAAGAGGCCCCCAAGATGGTACACGAGGGGTCCGACATGCCACAAGATCGCTCCAAGACGCCCAAGATAGCCCCCAGACGCCCCAAGAGGCCTCCCAGAGCACTCCCAAGAGGGCCCCCGGAGGCAAAATTCATTGTTTTTCCTTAGGTTTTTGAGAGATTTTGGAGCTTCCACCTTTTCGGTTCCCGACGCCCCAAGACGGCCCCAGAGGCCCCCAAGATCGCCCCAAGAGGGCCCAAGAGGCCCCCAAGAGGGCCCCAAGATGGCCCAAGAGGGCTCGAAGACGGCCCAAGAAGCCTCCAAGACGGTCCAAGAGGGCCCCAAGAACACCCCCAAAGGGGCCCCAGAGAGGGAACACGACACAAAATTTCGCGCCCTCGGCCCTAAGAAGCCCCTACGAGGCCCCAAGAGGCCCCTAAGAGGCCCCAAGAGGCCCCCACGAGGCCCTCAGGAGGCCCCCAAGAGTCCCCCAAGCGGCCCCAGGAGGCCCCCCAAATGCCCCCCCGAGCGCCCCAGGAGTCCCCCAAGCGGCCCCAGGAACCCCCAAAGCGCCGCATTGACACCAGGCCCTCGGGCAAACGGCAGACATGAGACCGTATGGGCCGGCGGAATGAGCGAAGCGATTCATAAACAAGTGCGCACGCATAGTATCATCTGACAGGGATGGACCGGGGGCGATGTCGGCTTGGCTGGGATGGTACCAACCGCTGGGGCACATGAGCGGTGGGGCAGACACTGATGTAATCTGCAGAGTCCCCAGGCGGGGATACATCCGGGGGGGGGGAAGAGGGTGGCAGAATCGGTTCTTGTTTTGAACGGAGAGTGTACGCGGCCGCCCAGCGCACGAGGCGCTCACGCGGCTCCCACAGGCGTGCGCCAGGCGAGACCTCGGCTGACCCAGCCAGCGCACCAGGTGCTCACGAGGTGCCCGCGGGCGGGCACCAGGCGAGACCTCGACTGGCCCACCCAGCGCAGGAGGCGCCCACGGGCGGGCACCAGGTGAAACCCCCGTCGACCCACCCAACTCTTTGGGAAACCGGAGCAGCGGCCCCAAGTGCAAGCATTGTTTGGGCACGAGCCCAAAGGGGGGTAAATCAATTGAATGACCCTGCGACGTACCCAACACATCGGCACCAACGGATGAGATAAGGTGTGCCGACAATCGCGTGACAGCAACACTGCCAGAGACGGTGCACGGCGGGTGCATATCTATATCGCGCGCAGTGTGCGAAGGCCGACCCGCAGAACAGGGGCACAAAAGGCCAGGAGGCATTGTACTGGGAAGGAGGAGCGAAAAGAAGATATCGTGGTGGAAGAACAATCACCTCGGTAGAAGCAGCGAGATGATGGAGCATGGGCAAAACAAGGTTACACAGGCGGATACGCAACAGCAGGCCCCCCCAGGAGCCCTCGAAAGTGGGAACAGTTTCGGATTTCGCAGCCCAGCAGGGATCAGGCGAAACCTCGGCTGACCCAGCAGCGTACAAGGCGCCCACGGGCGGGCATCAGGCGAAACCTCGGCTGACCCAACACGAGGCGCCCACGAGGCGCACACGGGCGTCTACCAACTGGGCACGAGGCGAACCCCGGCTGACCTATCAACTTCCTTGAGGAACATAGGCAAGAACCTTTAAGTACAAGCGTTCTCTGTGAGTTTTTCAAGCTGTGCGTCAAATATTCTTTAGCTGGCCCAGTTTCTTGTGGCAGCAATGCTGCTGTTGCGGTGGCTGTGTCGGTAGTTGAGCTGGTGATCGTGCTAGTAGTTGTGCTGTTAGGATTGCGCTTGGGGGATGTGCTGCGGGGTGGTGCTATGGATCGAACTAAAAGATTGTGTTGGGGGTTGTGCGGGTTGCGCTATAGATTGTGCGGGTTGTGTTGGGTGGTTGTGCAGGCGGCTTCGCTGGTGGTTGCGGTGGCGGCTGGGTCTGAGAGTGGTTGTCTGGGCGGTTGTGCTGGGTGCTGTGCATGGGCTTTGCTGAGGGTTCTGTCGGGGGTTGTGCTAGAGGGTTGTGCGGGGGATTGCGAGGGGTTGTGCTATGATTGTGCTGGCGGTTATGGTGAATGTCGGGCTGGCGATTGTGATGGGTTTGTGCTGGGGGTTGTGCTGGAGGGTTGGGTCGTATAGTTATGCCAGGGTTTGTTGTGGGGGCTGTGATGGTTGTTCTGCTGGGGTGGTGCTTGGGGTTGTGTCAGAAGGGCTGCCGTCAGTTGCGCTGTGGGTTGGCGCTGTGGCTTGTGCTGGGGTTGTTCCGGGGATTGTGGGATTGCGCCGGAGGTTGAGTTGGGATTTGTGTTGAGGGGTTGTGCTGGGGATTGTGCCAGGGAGCTATACTGGGGGTAGTGCTAGGGGCTGCGCACATGTGATTCAGAAAATGTGTCGGCATAAACGGCGTCGCGGACCTGGTCAACAATTATGCGTCTTACATGTCCGTTTTGTGCCCATGCTTCGAAATAGTCGAGCCGTCGATACTACAACCCCCCAGCACAAACCCCATTGCACAACCACCCAGCGCATCTCTTCCAGCACAAACACCCAGCGCAACCGTTCGCACAATCCACCAGCACAACCTTCAGCATAGCCCCCCAGCTCAGCCCCCCTAGCATATGCCATATGCCTACTGCGCACCCCCCCAGCAAATTATCGAGCCAGCGCAAACTCCAGCACAACCACTCAATGCAACCCCCAGCGCAACCCTCCAGCACAACTCCCAGCACAACTCCAGCACAACTCTCCAGCGCAACCCCTCCAGCACAGCCCCCAGCATAAGCCTCAGCACGACTCCAATTGCACTTCCGCAGCGCACCACTCCAGAACTATCGCCCAGCACAGCCCCCCAGCACCACCCACAGGCACAACCCGCAGCGCATCTCCCAGCACAACCACCAGCACCACCCCTCAGCGCAACCTCCAGCACAACCCCTCAGCACACACAACCCTCTAGCACAACCCCACCCCCCAGCACCACAACCCCCCAGCACAGCCATCCAGCACACACCCAGCACAACCTCTTGGCGAAACCTCCAGCACAACCTTCCATCACAACCTTCAGCACAATCTCTAGCACCCCCCCCCCGGCACAACCCCCAGCAGAACCCCGATCACAAATTCCCAGCGCAAACCCCATACCTAACCATTCCAGCACAACCACCCTGAGTACAAGCACCCCCCGCTCAATCTCCAGCACAACCACCCCGCACAATTCCCAGCACAACCCGCAGCACAACCAGCACAACCCATAGCACAGCCCGCACAAGCTCCAGTACAATCCCCAGCACAGCCAATAGCACCCCCCCCAGTTCGATCCATAGCACCACCCCCAGCACATCCCCTGAGCGCAGCCTCGACAGCACAACCACCAACACGACCACCAATGCGATCACCAGAACCACCAGTACGACAACCAGCACACACACACGCACACATACTGGTATAACCACCAGCTCAACCACCAGCACGATTTCCAGCACGGCCACCAGCACGACCACCAGCACAGCCACCAGTACGACCACCGGCACAGCTGCCAGCACGATTGTCAATATTACCGTCAGCTCATTTCGTGCAGACATATCGGCTGAGAAGCTGGCCCTTGCACTCGGGATGAAATATTCAGCAACATGGCATCTAAATTATTGAGCAGAACATGTATTGTCTTGAGTTTCGAGCGCACTGCGATGAAATGGCACAGTACGCTATGCTACGCAACGATATGTCATGCAATGCCGTGGCACGATACGTCCTGCGATGCTTTGCTAAGCAGTACGTGGTCTGGTATGTCATGCAGCTCCACGGTATGTATCGCGACGCCTCGCTAAGACTCCAGTTGCCTTACAGTGCTCTGCGCTGCATTGCATCTCATTGCATTGCATTCGAATGCATCCAGACGCCAGGTTCAGAGGGACCGTCTGGAGCCAGCCTCTCCTGGGCCTTTCTGGCGCTCCATCTGGGACCTCTTGGAACCGCGCTGTCTTGGAGATGTCCTGGCCCGGCCTGGCGGCCTCCTACGGGTCTGCTCGGTGTGCTTATAGCCCCCCCACTCCCCCATCCACCCACCCACCCACTGCTCAGATATTGCGGTTTTGGGCCAGGTGGACCATGGGGGAGGTTGTTGGACTCGCCGAGTGTATTTTCTTGAGCCGGACTGTTTTCGGCTCCCTCCGACAGGTGGAAGTTCCCGCGAGGGTGGGCTGCCAGGTTCAGCGGCGCAGCGCAGACTGGACATGGGGAGACCAGGACGGAGGTCCTGGGAAGTTTGGGAAGCTTCTCGGAGACGACTCGACTTCTCCTGGATGGGTACGCGTGCAGTGGGACAACGGCGCGACGAATACCTGCAGGGCCGGTGCTGAGGGCAAGTGGGACTTGGACTACGTGGACGCTGGCGCAGAAACGAAGAAGTACCTGCTGCTGAGCCTCTCCTTGCTCACAAGGCTACGTGGCCCTACTGTGAAGTCTCCGCCAATGCAGCTGAACTTTTTCGAGCTGCTGAGGTCGAGCTTGGGCGACCCCCAGTTCCAGGACGTCTGGTTGATTCCAGAGGCGCCACACTTCCACGAAGTAGCGCTCGGCCTCGACAGGCATCGAGAGAAACAAAAGAGCTTAAATGTAAAGACGTGCTCGGGAATCACCATTGGCACGTATTCTGATCTCTCGCAGAACATACTCTCCTGGTGCGTAACCCATTTTGATATAGTGCCCCAGTCTCTTCTCCCTCTTGAAGGCAGAAGGAGATTCGGCCGCCGGCCAGCCTCGCGCGCATCCTGCGGCCGTACCAGGTGCCCCGGGCTCGACCTAAGCGCTACATGCTGGCGATGCTTCCACAACATATTGAGTCGGACTATTGTCTCTCTGCCCTCACATCCACACCACAGAGGTAAGGCCCACACAAACCCTCTCTCTCTATATATATTGTTCGCTCGCTCTCTCTGTCTCTCTCCCTCTCTCTACTCCGATTCCAGTACCCTGCCTCCGTGGGCATCTCCTGATCCTGTTCCTCCACTTCTACCCTACTCATCCAATCGATACTCTTCACTGTGCTCTCTCCGCTGCGTCTGCGGTCCGCGCTTTCTCATAGGGCAACGGCAGCCGGTGGTGCTCATGCGCTGGCCGCCAGAGGCGCGAGAGTCTTGGCTTCTCGCGTGTACTAAGCATGTTTGATACCCCTAACGCATGCACACGTGAAAGCACGTGCCAATTGCACGCGGGCCAAGCGCATGTTGCGTACACCCTCGGGTACATTTTTGGTCGAGTTGTGCAATCCGCCAGCCGCATGTTCGGTACGCCAGACCTTGGCGCCTGCACATGTGAAAGCACGTGCCGAATTCATTTGTGCCAGACGCATGCGCCACATGTACGTGTTTCACATGCATGTTCGACACCCATCTTCCGTCCACATTTTTACACGCACGACAATACATGCCAAATGCACGCATGCCAGACGCATGCTCGACACCCCCCTGCGTACCATGTATAACATCCCCAGTTGGCGCTTGCACGCGTAAAAGTGCGTGCCAGACGCAGGCGGGCCAGACGCTCGTTTGACCCCCCCCCTCTCCGCACATCTCTACGTTTGAATATAGGCGGTTGCACACGTGCAAGTCTGTGCTAGACGTAGGCGTGCCAGCTACATGTTCGATACCCCCCTGCGCGTTACCACATAGAAGTGTGAAGACTCCGGCGCCAGGCGCGCCACACGCATGTTCGATGTCCCCTCCTGCGCGCACGTATTGTTACGTGTCCATGTAGCGAAGTGTGGAGGGTACCTGTACCTGGTGCTGGCAGCATGGCTGCCATTGAGGACCAGGGCTTAAATTCGCCCCAAGAGACGGTACCAGCAGTTTTGCACCGCTTGCGTGCTGCCTGAGGCCCTCGTGGTTTCGGTCCCTTGTCTTTTCGGTCGGTCCCTTCGGTCGATTTTGTCTTGGGTCCTGGGTCCGTCCCTCGTCCCTTTCGGCCTTCGGGCCCCTCGCCGTTCGTCGGCTTTGCAGGGAGCTGAGGCTAGTCGTCAGCCCGCGTCCTAAACAAATAAAGTTAACGTGTCCATGTAAAAGACCGGGCGCCACCATGTAGAGTGCCCCTCCGTTGCCGCCTACGCACGTCGAAGTACGTACTGGATGCAGGCGCGCCAGACGCATGCTCGATATCTCCCCTTGGCGCTCGGCGCCTACATGTGTGAAAACACGTGCCAAACTCACGTTGTTGGATGCTCCTCTTTGCCTTCACAGGCCCGACAACACAAAGAGAACCGTGCGCCAAAGCCCGTGCCAGGAAAGTTCCCCCTTGGGCGTCATTCCTCATCCTCTTCATGTCTTCTCCTTTTCCTACTCGCCCCAATATTTGTATTATCCGCCATCCCCCACCACAGTTGTTTATCTCTCTCCATCTCGTTTTCCGCCTTATCATCCTCGATCTCATCGTCACATTATGTTCCTCGTCACTATCACTTATCATGCTTACTGTTTTTTCTTTAGTAGTCATCCCATCGTTCATCTTCCTCTTATCCTCCTGATCCTCCTACCCGTTCCTTCCTCCAGGCTTCCACAAACATGCAATACGGGGTCCCACCGTTCGAGTAGTTTCTGTTTGGGCCGGGCCTAGCAGAAAAAGAGTCATGGTAGATCGGGAACGAAATGGTCGGCAAAAGTGCACGTCGAGCCTTCCAGGTCTCTGGATTCCAGTGGCTCGCGGCGCTGGCGCGCAACGGGCTCGGGGCGATCCTTGCGGACGACATGGGTCTCGGGAAAACAATTCAGGCGATCACCATGCTGGTGCACCTCTACGACAACGGCTTGCTCGCTGACGAGGCTGGGGTGCGCCGTCCTGGGCTCGTGGTTGTACCGCCCGGGCTGTTGCGCAATTGGCAGCAGGAATTCCAGCAATGGGCTCCGCAGCTGGAGATCTATTTGTACCATGGCCCAAAGCGGGAGCTTCCCCGCAGCAGCGTGGACGTCATGCTCACCACCTACCACATGGTGAGGAACGACGTATCCACCTTGTGCGATCGTGCCCGCATCACTTTCTCGTGCATGGTGATCGACGAGGCTCAGAGTTTCGAATCATCGGGGCCTGGGGTGGCCACGGGTAGCTCCTCGTTCGTGCCTCGGAGGCTCAAACTGGAGTTACCCCAGACCGGAGCTGACCCGGATAACTCGGGCACCCAACCTTTCGCGAGTCATCGGGGTTGGAGGTGGTCAGGGGTAACTCGTGGTTCGTGCGTCGGTGGCCGAAACCAAATTTATCCTGAACCGGAGTTATCCCGGATACTTCGGGCGCCCAAGAGGCCCAGTGCATCAAGAACCACGGCACGAAGCTCACCAAGGCCGTGAAAGAGGTTGGCAACTGCATTGGGCACACCCGTATCGCGCTGTCGGGGACGCCCATAGAGAACAAGGTGGACGAGCTCCATTCGCTTTTCGACTTCACAATGTACGGGTACCTCGGTGACCAGCATCGATTCTCGAGAGAATTCTCGAAGGTTATCGAACAGGGTAGGAACCCCGCGAAACGCCAAGAAGTGCTGGCCCTCCTGAAGACGCTCACCAGCCCCTTCCAGATGCGGCGCCTGAAGACGGATCCTTCGATCAGCTAGGCTGACGTCACATCCGTCGACCCTTCAATTCTTCCGAAATTCTTCACATGGACTAAGTTGAACCACATCGATCAATCGATCGTCACCATCACCACCACCAGCATCATTGTTTGTAGTTGCACGCACGTGCCACGACTGCGCGCTCGTTGTGGTGTGCATGTTTGCTGGTACACTCTACTACACAACAGGCACGCATTCCAACACGCCCCAGGGCGCCGAGGACACGCTGGCGCACACAGGCCGCCCGAACTCACGCCCCGCCTGCAAAGCGGCAGGCGGCTCGGTAAAGTCGCGTGTCCTTTCGGATGTCCTATCTTATACGTTCCGTCTGCATGTTCCCTCCACGATTTGCGCCCGCGGGGGTGAGACGGACCTGGTAACGTCTGGGCGCTGCTGGGGTGCTCGTGACGACGACGACGACGACGACGACGACGACGACGACCATGACGACGGTCACGACGACGACGAAGACGACGACGACGACGACGGCGACGACGGACTTACCGACCGACCGACCGACCGACCGACCTGCCGGCTGACCGACCGACCGATCGACCGACGACGACGACGAAGTCGACCGACGACGTCTAGAGGTCTCTGGAGGCTCCGGAGGGTTCCCCAGAGCTCCGCGGAGTTTTCCAGAGGTTTCCCCGGAGGCCTGCTGAGGCGCGAACCGTAACGTTACGGCACGTTCCTTTCCTCGCCTCCCGCCCTTCCAAATTCTATTCTGGCCCTCCCCATTTCGTCCCTCTCCTTTGCACTCCTCGCCGGTCTTCCTCAGTCCTCCCCATTCCCTCCATGCCCCCCCCACTCCTCCCTACTCCTCGCCACTCCTTGCCATTCTTTCCCATTCCTCCCCGCTCCCCCTCCATCGCATTCTTTGGACCTCCTCCCCACTTTTCCCGACTCTTCCCCACTCCGTCGCACTCTTCGGCACTCCTCCCCACTTTTCCTCACTCCTCGCCACTTTCCTCCATTCCTCCCCGCTCCTCCCGAATCATCCCCACTCTTTCCCATTCATCCGCGTTCTTCTTCACTCCATTCCATTATGTTCACTCCTTCGCATTCCGCCTACTCCTCCCCACCTCGCTCTACTCAACGCCACCATTCCCCATCCCCCAGATAGACAGACAGAGGCCCGGTCAAACCACACGGGTTGGCCCGTAAACGGGCGAGGCTACAGCGCAGTGGCCTGAGCAAGCACGCGCGCAACGGAGAGCAAACGTTGTGCCCATCACCCCGCCCTCCTAAATACGCACGCCTCCCAACTCCGTCCCATTCATTCCCATCTTTCCATCCCCTTGCACTACTCTTCCCTCCTTATCAAACTTTCCGATCGCTTCCACTCCTTCCAACCCCACTCCACCCTACTTACCTCCTCCCACCTTCTCCCGACCCAACCTCATCCTCACCACTCCGCTCATCCCCACTCCTCCCCATTCCTCCCCACTGCCTCGCCCTCCTCCCAATTCCTCCCCATCTCTTCCCACTCAACTCCGCTCCTCTCTACTCCTCCCGACTCAGCTCCGCTCGTCCCCGATTCTCCACATTCCCCCCCAACCCTCCTCATTCCACCGCTCTCCACTCCTCCCCATTCTTTGCACTCCTCGTGACTCTCCCCTCACTCCTCCCCATCCCCCCCCCACGTTTCTGTACTCCCACTATTGCTCACGTGCCCGCTGGACACACGGCATCTTTCTTTTTCCCCCCCCATTCCTCCCCACTTTTCTCCATTCCGCTCCATCTCATTTAACTCCACTTCGATATATTCCGCTGCACTTCACTCCTCTCCAAGATAGCAACCAAGGTGGCACACGATGCTCAAGATGGTCCCATCTAGCATCCAAGAAGCCTCCAGACCGTTACAAGTCGGCCCGAGTTCGCCTCCAGATCCTCCCCAGGATGCCCCGAAATGCCATATATTTTCAAACACTTGAAGCTATTCAATCATGTTGGCCTTATCGCTTTCTGGCTTCCGATAGGCTTTCAATTAAGAGGCTTCAAAGTGACCCTAAGATCGGCCAAGAGAGGCACCGGAATGGCCCAGGAAGGACACGAGGCGAGCCCACATGCCCCATGAGGACCCCGCATGCGTCCCAATATGGCCTTAAGAAGAAGAAAAAGGAGAAGAAAGCCGCGCACGTCAGGGGTACATTGGCCATGTGGCGAAAAGGTGAGACAGTCGTATACATTGCGCCGCCAGCCGCAGTAATGTGAAATAGCGACGACGATCACGACGACGACAGCGACGACGGAAGCGAGGGAGGAGCGAGAGAGACACGAAACGGGAGGACGAGCGGGGCGGAAGGAAGGGGGGTCATCGATTGCGGCGGGGCAGACAGAACCGCGCACATTAGCACTAGTTGAACGGTTACACGGCGTCGCAATACGTGTGCTCTGCGGATGGCCGCGCAGCCGCCGATTGGATTGTGTTGTGCAGAAGCGCCTGAAGGGCCTCCACACCCCCGGCAGCTGCGCAGGCATGTCGGTAGATCTTTTGCGGCCAGGACATCCGCGGGCGCCCCCGTTTCCTGTTTTCGGGCGGCGCCGCCAGCAGATGCGAAAACAGTTGGGAAGCCGTGAGGCGCACGACATCGTCGCCTGGCTTCCTGGCGACGTGCCCCGAAAAAGTCAGCTGTTTGCGGAGGAGTGAATTGCTTAGAAGACGTGCCCTCGACCGCTGGGGCACGACTGCATTGGGGACTCTGGTGATATATGAATGTGGAATCCCGAGTATTGCGGAGGTACCCTGCCTGAAACGCATCAAGGCGACGATTATCTTGTTTGTTCAGGTCGGCAGTATGAAGACCACGCAGGATTCAAATTTTATGATCCATAGTAAGGACGCGCGCCTTTCTCTAGGGTGCCCTTGGGTCCCTTCCTGCCTCTGCCTCTGCGGCCCGTCACTGGCAGTTGTCATTGGCCAGCCTTTCAGGGCGCCCTTGGGGCGGGCGCAGTCCCTCGGCTGCGGGGCGGCGCGTTCCTCTGGGGGGCAGTTCGAAGGGCGCGGGCTCCCAGGGTATCCTTGGCCGTCCTTCGGCGCGTCGCCCTCGTCCTCGCCAATCGCTCGATTTCGGCGCGGGCGTGGCCCTGAGGACGTCGGCCAAGCAGGGCTCCCTTGGCCGCCCTAGGGCGCGCCGCCGCTGCCTTCATTTGCTTCCTTCCTTCGCGGGCGGGCGTGGCCTTGGGGACGCGGGCCAGGCAGGGTACCCTTGGCCGTCCTTCGGCGCGTCGCCCTCGCCCTCGCCGGCGGGCGTGGCCCTGAGGGCGTTGGTCAAGCAGATCTCGCTTGGCCGTCCTTGGGCGCGCCGCCGTTGCCCTCGGTCGCTGTCTTGCTTCGCGGACGGACATTGCCTTGAGGGCGCGGGCCAGGCAGGATATCCCTGGCCATCCTTGGGCGCGTCGCCCTCGTCCTCGCCAATCGCTCGATTTGCGGACGGACATGGCCCTGGGGGCGTTGGCCAAGCAGGGCCCCCCAAGCCGTCCTTCAGCGCGCCGTCGCTGCCCTCGGTCGCTGTCTTCCTTCGCGGACGGACGTTGCCTTGAGGGCGCGGGCCAGGCATGGTACCCCTGGCCGCCTTTGGGCACGTCGCTCGCGTCCTCGCCCGTCGCTCGGTTTGCGGGCGGGCGTGGCCCAAGGGGCGTGGGCCAGGCAGGACTTCTTTGGCCGTCCCTGGCGCGCCGCCGTTGCCCTCGGTAGCTATCTTTCTTCGCGGGGGAGCGTTCCTTCGGGGGGGACGTAGTCTCGAATCCAGAATGCGAGTGAAACAAGCTGCTTTTCTCACACAGTTTTCGGGGTGACGCGTGTCATCCCTGAGTTGCTTGTTGGCATCCAGGATGCAAGTGAACCATTTTCAGCTACCCCAGGACATATTGGAGGTTAGGCTGCCCCGCACGGTCGTGAAACGAATGCTGTTGGGGTAGAAGCTCATGCCGCGGCTGCCACGCGCGGTCGGGAATCGAAAGCTGCTGGGGCTCTCCGAGGCCCGCTTGGAGTCACATTGGGCCATATTGGGCAGTCTTGACTTCTGGGTGCCCTGTATGCAGATCAACGTGGCCGGGTGCGCACGGATGTTCTTAGTAAAGAATTCGGCATACAACGTGGGACAAAGCAGGGTGATCCATTATCTTCTTTGCTTTTCAATGCGTTGTTAGAGCATTGTATTCGCCCTTGCAAAAAAGCTGTGGAGCAAAAAGAAGTGCGGCTTGAAAGTAGACATCCGCGGTAAGAATTTGCTCACCAATTTACGTTTCGTTGATGACGTGCTCGCCTTGGGGACGACGTTGCACCATATCAAAAGAATGCGGTCATACATCAAGAAAGAGACCTCCAAAGCGGGTTTATCTTTACACCCAGGAAAACAAAGATATTCACAAACGCACTCAAGATGTCTGGGAGACCAGCCAACGAGACCGTGCAGATCGACGACATCACCGTTGATATTCTGGCACGAAGCGCGACCATCAAATACTTGGGACGTCTGGTATCATGTGACAACCCGCACGAGTGCGAGCTGGCAAATCGAATCCGGAAAGTATGGGCAGCCTATGGGATACACAAACAAGAGCTAACCAGCCGCGCATACCCCCTACGGGACCGCATTCGTTTGTTCAACGGGACGGTGGCACCTACAATGCTATATGGAAGTGAAGTTTGGCTTATGACACGCAAGGCAGAACATCAAATCACATGTGTGCAGCGGCGAATGCTTAGGCAAATGTTGGGAACAAGGCGGAAAGTGATAGCCCGGGCACATTCTGATGCGCATTCTTCGGATTCCAGCTACGCAGACATTGACAGCAACCCCATGTCAGAAAGTGCTAGGGCCACGCGGATGGAATCCTGGCCGGATTTTATTAAGAGAGCGACGCACATTGTTCAAGACCAGTTGCAGGCATCCAGTGTGGAATATTGGGTGCACCGACGGATCCGGCGCAGATGGCAGTGGGCATGCAGAGTTGCAAATATGGAACAACATCGATGGGCTTCAAAAG